AGGCCACCAGCAGCATTATCGCTCCAGCTTAAATTAAGAGACAGAGTGCATCACTCTCTTTAGTACATACGGAATGCTATAAACTGATACATAAATGGGAAGTTCAAATAAGGCATAAATCAATATCATTTCGCAAACCAGAAGTAGAGTTGAAACTTGAAGCTTTGAGTACAGTACCTGTCCATTGTCCGTAGGGCGGCCAATGCGATCAGAAACATCTCCCATGGATCTACATAATCCAAACAAATTATACTCCCATGTGAAAGCATGCTAATAACTCTCAGAAAGTAACATGCAGTGACAATGTGCGCCCTGTTTTTAACAAAACATTATGCAGGCACAAGATCATTTAGGTGCATGGCCTGTGATTTGTAGACCTAAGTATAAAGGGGGGCTTGGTATCCACAATCTTGAAAAAATTAATGTCAGCCTGCTGTGTAAATGGTGGTGGAATCTGGAAAGGAAGGAAGGTATGTGGCAGGATATAGTTAGAAGAAAATGTAATATTTCCAAAATATGATAGGTGGAATCTGGAAAGTAAAGAATGGTGTCAGTCTGGTAAATGGCTCTATCAATAGTTCACCTTGCTGGGCTGATTTTCTGAAGATCAAACAGTTGTATACTAATAAAGGAAGAATTATGATGATTGGTAATGGGCAGCAAACAAACTTCTGGGGTGATACCTGGTGTATTGATAAACCCTTGAAAGATCAATATCCTGATTTGTTTGCAATTTGCAATGATACAAGATCCACTGTTAAACAGCTAGCAGAAAGGGGGTGGAGGCTTACTTTTGGAAGATGAGGACAATGAGGATCGAAGCAAGGACTGCTGCAGACAATGAGACAGATGAATCGGAAGCAGGAGCGGTTATGGAGGAAGACTAAAATATGAACGATGCAATGGAACCTTTTCTGGGCTTTGGCGGCTATTTCTTCCAAGTAACTGGCCTAGGATAAAACTTGCAATGTGCTCTCAGGGTTGTTCTTTAATTTTTTTTCAGTTAGCGGATATATGCAGCAGCGATTTGTGAACCTTGCTTTAGTTTTTGCTTTGCACCAAGATGCTTTCTTTTGTTTTTGTTCCGTTATCCCTTGATGGTCGAACCCAATCCTTTTCTGGGATTGTATGAAAAAGAAAAGGCCATCAAGGTGCCCATTTACAGCTAGTGCTGTAAAGAATGCTCCCTATGTACGACAAATAGGTAATCAACTATGGCAACCTCCCTGGCCTGCCTGGATGAAAAGGTATCACCTTGATGACAGTGTGTGGGACTCGTGATACACAAAATTGCATGACAGTCAACCAGAACCATTGGACTATCCAATTTCCTAATTCTAAAACACCAATATTATCCGTGGATACATGCCAATGTACGCACTTGCCTTGCAAAGCAAAACCAGGGGCACAACGAGTCCATACCTGGTGAGAAGCTCTGATTTTTCTGCGTCCCACTGCAGGACGCAGAACTTGTACCTCTCCGTGGCGACGAAGAGGAAGTCCTGGGCCTCATTCTGAAACAGGGGAAACAGGTAAGGAATCATTCCCACAGAAACATCGCACCACACAAAGCAAAAAGCAGCCTTTGAAGGGATGGGGCGCTGACTCACGTGAGGCCGGAAGAGCTCGATCGTCGCGATCCTCCCATATATGGGCACGTCAAGCATAGGCTGGCAACAAAACAAGTGTTATGGCCTTGCGGAAAAGGCAGATTATTGTGCAAGCAAAGAAAGAAACAGAGAGGTGGGCGACGGGTACGGCGTATGTCGGTTACCTGAAGGCCCTGCGGCGTGAGCAGGTGGATCTCGATGCGGGTGCATTTCCTGAAAGTTGACGGCAACCGGGCGCGTTTAGAAGTGGGATTTGGCGGGAATCCGGCATAATAATAATAATAAAAGGGAAAAACTATGGTGGCATCTAGCTACTGAACCACGAGTCTGCAGCTGATGAAACAGCTTCCTGAATGCATTACCGATACGCCGCATTCAGGCACATATGAAATCTGACAAATTCCCCGTCTATCATCATCAGGGTACCTACATGTGGTGAGGGCGCAGACACGTCGTCCTATCTACCAGTGCCATTTTGCTCCGGCAGGGCGGGCCAGACCTAGAGAACACCGCGCTGCGCCCTAGGGCCGTACAGTACACTCAGTAACCCATGGCCCCGGATCCTGCCGGGCGGCTCGCCGGAGAGGAACCCCTAGTAGCGGCAGAACAAATCGGGCGCGTCTGGCCGGGAGCAAAACCCTAGGACACGCGGGCACGAACGCGGGACCTGGCAGCCGGGGCGCGCGGGGCCGGGCGGGCGGGAGGTGAACCCTACCTAATGGACGGTGGATTGGGGGATTCGGGGGGCTTACGCGACGATGAGGTTGAGCTGGTGGGGGCCGGTGAAGTTGCCGACGCAGGAGTGGCTGACGCTGGTGGGCTTGTGCGCCGTCACGACGTAGTTCCACGTGCTCATCTCCCCTCGCCGCCCGCCGCCGCCGCCGGAGGAGGAGGGTTCTGGGCTCTGTGGAGCGGTGGTAGGAGAGAGAGAGGAGGGGGGGGAGATGCGGTGCGCTGCGGCTGGGCTCCCGTCCCCCTTCGTTTTCACGGTGCTAGCCGACGGTCTAACGGGCCGCCTTTCGGCCCTCCGCGCGCCTGATGGGCCTGAATCTGGGCCTCGTTCCCTCTGGGCCGTGGCGAGGCCTTTCTTCTCTCTTCTTATTGATGATGGGTCGCCCAAACAAAAAAACGATGGGTCGGCCCCTCAATAAAAAAAAGGTCAGTGGATCCATACACCGGCCGTGAGCCTCCTCCGCCGCGTCCCTTCTTCGTCCGACCAGGATGGGGCGGCTTCTTCCTCCTCCTCCGTTCTGACCTCGGCGCTGGACTTGGGCCGCGCCGCCACAAGCGGAGTGCTGAGCGCGGGACAGGAAGTCGTCGTCTGAGCACGGAGGTCGGCGGCGGGTGCAGCGACGGTGTGTGGACGCAGGACTCTCGCCGAGAAGGGGGGACAAGCTGGCTGTTATGGGTAAGACACCACCACCACACCAATGTACCATACTGTCGGGTCTGAAGGTGAAGTGCTCTTCAGTTATCAAGTGAACATCTCTTCAGTTTTTCTCATGTGATAATGATAGTGATACAAGTATGTAAGGTGCCGCACCCCTAGATTTAAGAGCATCTCCAGCCATTGTGCCCCCTCCCTCCCCCCCCCCCGGGGGGGGGGACGATTTTTGCGCCGGATGAAGATTCGCCGGCGCTAATTTTGCTCTGGGAGGGAGTTTCCCATTAGTTGGAGCTCCCAGGCGCGCCGCTCTCCTCCCTCTCGGCCTCCTCTGCCCAGCTCGACCACTTCACGCTCCTACCGGCCATCAAGTCCATGGTCGCGCTCGCGCAAGGGGCGACAGAGGCGGAGGGGATCTTCATGGTGCCTTTGGCGGCGAGCTCGGAGTGGGGCTAGTAGCCCATGGCGATGTGTTGCTCGAGGAGGTGGCAGCGTGAGCAAATGGGGCAGGAGCCCTGGAGGAAGGCGTCAGGGGCCGCGAAGACGGTGATGGCCCCGGGCCACCTCGCCAGCGGTGGCGCGCGAGCGAGGAGCGGCGCCTTTGACGCCATCTTGTTGTACCCCAGCGAGGTGAGCACCCTAGAGAGCTGTTGCAGCCCCTGCTCGGCATCGGGCACGGCGGGAGGTGGAGGCGGGCTCGCGGTCGTCGCCACCGCGGCAGGGAGCGTGTGAACCGTGCTGGTCGTCGTTGTTGTCTCTGCAGCGGTCGTCATCGGCACGGGCCCTTTCTCCTGCGGCTGCGGTGTCTCCTCCGCGAGATCCGGCACCGGGAGGACGAGCGCGGGAGGCGGTGGCACGAGCGGAGCAGGACGGGCCTCCGTCGCGTCCATGGCCTGCGCGTCGGCGAGGACGGGTCCGACGTCGACAACGGAGAGCAGGGACTGGTTGTCGGCCTGCTCGTGTAGGGCGGCAGGTGCGCTGAGGCGGTGGAGATGCTCTACGACATGGTGGCGCTTGGCGTGCGGCCGGACGACGTGACGTTCGCGAGCGCGCTCCCAGCATCGGCTCGGTCAAAGCCACGCGATGCCGAGCTCGCATCGCCCGCACCCCACCGAGCTCGCTCGCACCCCACCGTGGCTGCCTGCCCTGTTGCGCCCGTGGGTGAAGAGAAGGAGAAGAGAAGAGAGAGCAGCACATGGGTGGGCCCCGGAGGAAAAGTGAGGAGAGAGGGAGTGGGAGGCTATCGGTGGGCCAAATGACATGCAAAATAGTCTCTCTCTCCTCCCATAGTTGCCCCCGAGGATCCTGGGTTTGGGGTGGGATCGCCGATCGAAATTTTGACCAGATCTGGTGCTAATTGAGGTCGTGAGGATGCGAGTGGGACATTTTTCGTCCGCCAGCGCCAAAAAAATTGGTCCTTGGACGGGTGGAGATGCTCTAAACCTATGGAAAAGAATTCAAGCATATGTATCAAATATGCAGTGACAGCAAGCAAGTTCTTGGACCCCGTTCAAGCACGGACGGATTCGCATGTGTCTGTATTGTTTCTCCTAGTAACATGTCCTCAGAAACATGGTTTCGGCATGGGTCCCTCGTGGTGCGCCTTCCGAACTTGGAGATGGACCAGAGCCCCATGGTCATCTTCGGCACCATCAATGAGGTCATCTTTTTTCTGTTTTCGACGTTTGATAAGGGTCTGTTCTGGTCTCCTCCAGCTTCTCTCCACTACTATAAAACAATCCAACAATAACTTTCTTAAATGCACCCCGCAATTACCCCCAGCAAAACAGCCGACCCATTCAACACCGCTGGATTACTCCCACGAATCTGAATCTAACAGCCAGAATTGATCCAATACCGCCATGGTGTGCACGTACCAATTTCCATTGACTGATCGTGCTTCACCTGAAGACTAGCGAATCGTCCCCAGACAATCGGGAAACTCCAATCGCATCTACTAAGGAAGGACGCATATCCTAAGGAAGGAAAGGAATGAATTGATTCTCCTAGCCCAATCGCGCAGGAGCCTCGCTGCCTTCCGTCACCATCGCGCCAACACCTTCTTCTCCGGCCGCCAACTTCGCGCCACTCCACCGCGCAGCCGCCTCCCTGCACGATCGACGTAGCGGGCTCCAAGGAGGCTGCCCTGCCCCCTCGCAGTGTGGCACAAGGCTGCTAGATCGCCAGTGCCCACGATCCCGCCCAGCACCCGCGCGGCCGCCCCCGCCCTGCACAGCTCCTGGACGGCTGGACCAGCTGTGATTCTTCCCTGCGCTCAAGATTACAGGTTTTCAGAACAGAAGATCAAACATTAAACATACAAAAAAGGTAAGATCGTAAAAGTAAGACATTCAGATGCCGTGCAATTGCACAGCATTTTACTATACCTAGGGCACAGGAAAGATAAATCACGCCAGTTTACATCAGTTTATTAGATGAAAGCTGAAACTATCCCAGTTGCCTATCTAGCCCTGCCTCATGCACTTCCCCACCTAATGTAGCAATTATTGAAAGAGTGATCAGCCATCCTTTAATGGCTTGATTAAAAGATTGATCAGTCTGCAGTTTACAAAACCTCTATTTTTGCTTCATCCAATCATCTCAAAGTAATCGAGCCCAAAGTTTTTTCAGAAACCATGGTTCTAATAAATTAATGTCATCAATATTCACATGAAGGCGACGGTATGTCGTCTCCCAATCGTGCGGGGCCGCGCACCCCATTTCAGGATATAAGCAATAACCAACCATTGGGTAACTATCAGCAAACATTTCCTACTTTGTTCTACTGTTTCTGCTGTTTCTTGTGTGCTGACTCGCGATATGTATTTATACAGACCCAAGCCCCCCATTTCAGGATTTAAGCAACAACCAATCATTAGGTGACTATCATCGAACAGTTCCTACTTTCTGCTACTGTTTCTGTTGTTGCTTCTGTGCTAACTTGCATTACTTATTTATAATAAACAGACCCTAAAGAATTGAAGAGGCAGAGGAACAAAGAGTATTATGCACGCAATAGAGATGACATTCTTAGAAGACGTCGTGAAGCCCGTGAAAAGAAACATGCTTCAACGGCACTGCTTGGTGATGAGCAGAATGTAGCACATACACCCGAGCCGATAGCCCAAGGTTAATGCCCTTGTACTGAATGCTTCTGTATTATCCAAATACTACCTTTGTATGCTAAAGTATAACTATAATGTATCATATATTAGACCCTGACGAGCTTAGGAGGCAACATCAGCCCTACAGTGAGTCAACAATGGTCGTTGATTCTGCTAACAACAATGCCCAGGAAAATGAAAGACGTACACCGGTGTCCATGTCCATTGGTAATGACTATCAACAAAGTATATACAACCCTGTCTATTTACACTAATTAGTTTTATTATCTACGCAGATCCTAAGGAATTAAGGAGGCAGAGGGACAGGGAGCGGTATGCACAAAACAAAGATGAAATATTAAAACGACAACGCCTATCTCGTGAGAAGAGAAAGGCTACAACTGCCAGGATGACCGACCATACCACTGTATCACACACACCAGCTACAGGACAATCCGGTGTCACCCAGCTCCAAAAATTTACATCTCCGAGTACTACTTTTCTACCATAAGATATTGATTGCATCTTCTTACCTCACCAAATATGCCCATAAGTGCAGGGTACTCATGTGGTACTGCAACTCTCTTGCAGGCCTGTCGAATATACCAAGTTCATCTCAGTCACCTGAATGCGTTCCCCACTACAAGGAGAACAAGGAGAACAATTTAACACAGGAAGATGAATCCAGTTGGCTGCACAGGAATGATGCGTACCACATGCAACAAATAGCAGGACGAATAAGAGCTGTTACTATGCCTCTTGCCAGCAAACCAAACCAATTAAACCCATCATCACCGATATTGCACGAGGTATTTTAAACTGGATTCGGTAGATAGTGTTCCACGCATTCTGGCTGTAATCAGCTTCTGTATGTAATTAGTTGTGAACACATAACCAAATATACCCAGGTTTGACAATTGAAAGTGCAGGTTACTTTGTCGATTTAAGGCTTTTGCATATGTGTCCACAATGTTTATTTGTTCAGTTCTAGAGCCTTTTTCCAACTCCTATGTACATGATAATGGGCCAGAAAAGGATAATATATGCCCTACTGAAGTGGACACAGTAGGTACTGAAAACACTCAACATCTGCGACACACTTTTGACGAACCTAGGCCCACTAATAATACCTATAATATATATTATCCTCTTCTGATCTTATGGTTTTCTATACTAGGCAACGACCAGACAGATGATCCATATGGAATTTTTGAGCCCGTTGTTGAACAAGCCAATTTAGATGGTATGTTATATATAATTGTTATTCTGTTCATATATCAAGTTCTTCTTCAGTAAATTTTCAACATTTACGATTGATGAATGTATTGCCATCTAGACTACTTGGAACCATTGCCTAATGGACAAGCTGCATACCATGAGCCTGATGAAGAAGCTAGAATATATATGGATAGAGGTATGCGCATTGTGTAGTTGCCATTTTAACACACTCAAGTGCACGTTTTATTAGTATGAGTCATAATTAAATGCATGTCCTCTTCTGTGCTAGGTGTTGCTTTTGAATCGTACCAACTTGGACGCAATACTACACGAGCACCACACATGTCAAATACTGATGAATTCATATACCAAAACCTACCTACAAAGCACCATGTCCTGAGAAAGGTTGCTGACTGCCTTCACTGTGGGGCATTGCGTTTTCCGTTCGAGGGGCCAGCGTTTTGTTGCAGAAAAGGAAAAGTCGGTATATTTACTCCAGAGGTTCCAGAAGAATTGAAACGGTTGTTTACAAGTCAAGAAGATGAGGATGCTAAATATTTCAGAGAGAATATACGATATTTCAACTCGCACTTCTCATTCACAAGTCTAGGCGTCACCCTTGATCGCCGAGTAAGCACTGCCGCAGGAACTGGCGTGTATACATTCCGTGCATGTGGTGGGCTGTACCACGCTCTTGATAATCTGGTGCCGGCTGATAATGGCCCTCGGCATTTGCAGCTCTATATTTATGATACAGATCAAGACTTGGTTCACAGGGCTACTAGGTCTCCAGATCTTAATATAGACCTCATACGGAAGATTCTGCAAATACTAGAGCGTAACCCTTATGAGCAAACTTTCAAGAGCCTTGGGTCTATTCCCAATCTAGATGAGTATAGAATCTCACTAAACACGGATATAAACTTGGATCAACGGAGGTACAATGCCCCAACGACTCCGCAGGTGGCAGCGATATGGGTTGAAGGGAGCGACCCACAAAATTGCTTTGACAGGAGTGTAGTCGTGCATGGAAGAAAAGGAGACCGGCCCCTGTATATTAGAGCATACTATGGGTGCTACGACCCATTGTCATATCCACTATTCTTCCCATATGGAGAGACTGGTTGGAATCGTTGCATGCCATATGTTGGGGCCACGGATGACACGACCCAAAATACAGTACATGTGTCAGCCGCGCAGGGAAACCAAGCCTCTGCTTTATATATAGGTATGATGTTCCTGTATAATTTTTATATCTACTATTTATGTTTGATGACGAAAACTTATGTTTTTATCTTATTTTTCATCTATATATATCAGAGGAAAACTTGATTATAGAAAGAGAGCAAGATGAGAATTTTGCACCGCATGAACCGGATAATCCTGCACCACAAGGAAACCCAGCCCCTGATTTATATACAGGTATGATGTTCACTATTGATTTATATGCTTGCTGTTTTTGAATGGTGATTAAAACGCGTGGTTTCATCTCTGAAGCCCAGGCCACTGATTTACCTGTTGGGCTATCGGTCAACTCATTCTTCAATTCTTATGTTTATGTTCCCACTATACTTATTTTTATGTTGTCATTGCTGTAGATGACAACGAGGATAACCAAGATGAGGATTTTGGTGACGATGAGGTCAATGAAACACAGTCCAGGAAATTTGTTAGTGCGAGGGAGTACTACTGCTTCAAGCTGCAAGTCAGGAAGAAGCTGCTTAACATCATCTTGTGGGGGTCGCCTTTTCCAACAGTGGGCTGTTGACATGTATATCAAGATTGAGACTATGCGGCTTGACTGGTACTCAAAACTGGAAAATCAGAAGGTTATACACGCCGACCTCTACCAGGTACCGTGCTTGTGTTTATTTTAATACATCATAATACAACGACAAAGTGGCTACAATCCATGCTTTTCCATAACCTTTTATACTACTGTAGGGTCTTGTTGACACCGTCGTTGCCGGCGAGTCGCGCGGTGATCGGATTGGCAAACGAATCGTGCTTCCACGTACATTTCCTGGTGGTGATCGCGACATGCAGCGGAGGTTCCTAGATGCGATGGCAATTGTGCAACGGTGGGGTAAACCGGATTATTTTATCACAATGACTTGCAATCCCTATTGGGAGGAAATAACTGAAAAGTTGTTGCCTGGACAACTCCCGCAAGACCGTCCAGACCTGGTGGCAAGAGTATACAAAGCTAAACAGCGAGATATGATGGACTTGCTAACTAAGGGTAAGCATTTCAGAGAAGTCGCAGCTTATGTACATGTCATAGAGTTTCAGAAGCGAGGTCTCCCGCATGAGCATATACTTCTAATCATGAAAGCAAAAAGCAAGTTAGCAACCCCAGATGACTATGATCGGGTGATATGTGCTGAGATACCTGACAAAGAGAAACACCCCGTTCTGCATGATCTGGTCGTGAAACACATGCTGCACGGACCTTGTGGTGAGTTGAAAAAAAGTTGCCCTTGCATGATTGATGGACAGTGCCGGTTTCATTACCCGCGAGATTTTTGTGATGCCACACAACAAGGAAAAGACTCATACCCCATCTACAGGAGACGGGACGATGGGCGCCGAATTAGGATCAGAGGAGCAGATTTGGACAATAGATGGGTGGTCCCTTACAACCCTTCACTGCTTATGCGATACAACTGCCACATTAATGTAGAGGCATGCTCCAACATCAAGGCGGTCAAGTACTTGTTCAAATACATCTACAAAGGGCATGATCGGACATCCTTTGCATTTGAGCAGGATATCATCAATGATGGTGGAATCATCAATGAAATCCGGCAATATAGGGATGCACGCTATGTATCTCCGCCAGAGGCTATTTATAGGATTTTTCGGTTCAAGATGTTTGGTGTCAGTCCATCTGTGCTACAGCTCCAACTTCATCTGCCAAACATGCATACAGTGGCATTTAAAGCTTCTGAAAATCTGGAAGATGTTGTCGCTCGACCATCTTCTTCCAAGTCAATGCTTACAGAGTACTTTGAGATGAACCAAAAGTTTCCAGCAGCACGAAAATGGTTGTATAGAGAGTTTCCAGAACACTATAGATGGATAGCTGGTAAAAAGGTGTGGTAGATGAGAAGAAATAAGAGAGCACAGATTGGAAGACTTGTGTATGCACACCCCGCTGAAGGAGAGAGGTACTACTTGCGTGTGCTCCTAAGTCATGTCCGAGGTGCCACTTCATTTGATGATTTGAAAACAGTAAATGGCAATCCATGCAGCTCCTTCAGGGAGGCATGTGAGCACTTAGGCCTCATTGAGCACGACAGGAGTCTTGATGATTGCATGACGGAGGCTGCCACATTTCAGATGCCTTGTGCATTGAGACGGTTATTTGCGACTATACTGGTATTCTGTGAGGCAACAGAAATTCGACAGATGTGGGACAAACATCTAGCAGCGATGTCCGAGGACTACCGGCGTAATCAATCCAATGAGGCAATACTTGAGCAGATGGTCCTCAGAGATATCAGTAATATGTTGCAATCCATGGGAAAGGATATTACAAAGTATGGACTCCCGGAATTGGTTGAGACCGATGATTCTTATGACAGTGTCTACAGAGAAGTAACAGAGGAGAGGCAAATCAGCGTGGACAAAGAACATCTAGAATTATTTAAAAGTTTGAACAGTGAGCAGCTGGCTGGTTTCAATGACATAATGGATCATGTGGTCAACCAAAAAAGTCAGATATTCTTTGTTGATGGTCCAGGCGGCACTGGGAAGACATACTTGTACAAGGCATTGCTTGGAAAGGTGCGTTCAATGGGCCAGATAGCCATCGCAACCGCTACATCAGGTATTGCAGCGTCGATAATGCCGGGAGGACGAACTGCACACTCCAGGTTCAAAATTCCAATCAAGCTCACTGACAACAGAATGTGTAGTTTCACAAAGCAGAGTGGTACAGCTGAGTTGCTTAAGCAAGCGTCCTTGATAATTTGGGATGAAGTTGCTATGACAAAACGTCAAGCATTTGAGACGCTTGATAGATCACTACAGGATATAATGGAAAGTCGTTTGCCGTTTGGGGGAAAGGTTGTCGTTTTTGGTGGTGATTTCAGGCAGGTCCTTCCTGTTGTGACACGTGGGACAAGAGCACAGATCACAGATGCTACACTTCTGAGATCCTATCTGTGGGATAAGACACGCAAGATAAGTCTCACGCACAACATGCGAGCACAGTCTGATCCTTGGTTCTCCGAATACCTCCTAAGGATCGGCAATGGAACGGAAGAGACAATTGGAGATGACTATTTCCGCCTCCCTGACGACATTGTGATCGGCTATACCGAGGATGAAAAAGCTATTAACAAGCTCATCGAAGAGGTCTTCCCATCGTTGCATGCCAATGCTATATCGAGAGAGTACATGAGCACACGTGCTATTCTTTCGACCAAGAACGATCATGTCGATGACCTGAATGACAAGATGATCTCCAGATTTCCAGGAGAAGAAAAGTTATACCATAGCTTCGACTCAATCGAGGATGACTTGCAGAATAATTACACAATTGATTTTCTAAACTCGATCACACCAAATGGCTTGCCCCGCATGTATTGAGATTAAAGGTCAACTGCCCGGTCATTCTGCTCCGGAACCTCGACCCTCATAATGGCCTATGCAATGGGACACGGCTTATGATTAGAGCCTTCCAGGATAATGCAATCGACGCAGAGATTGTTGGTGGTCAGCATGCTGGAAAGAGGGTGTTCATACCTAGGATCCCTATGTCGCCCTCTGAGGACATCTCACTTCCTTTCAAACTTAAGAGAAAACAGTTCCCCATCCGCTTGAGTTTTGCGATGACAATTAACAAGGCGCAGGGTCAGACTATCCCAAACGTCGGTATTTACCTTCCCGAGCCAGTATTCTCACATGGTCAGCTATATGTTGCATTGTCAAGGGGAGTCTCTAGAGAGACGACACGGATTTTGGCCAAGCCAAACAAGGAGGTTGATCAATACGGAAAAAGCACAAAGAACATTGTCTACAGAGATGTTTTGGGGAGATGATGCAGGTGCGTTATTCCAATATTTATTTGCACATAATACTATGTCAATTTATATTTACATACTCCTACATCTAACATTATTTGTTTTTCATTTGCAAGTTTATCGAAGGAGAAGAAGAAGCGGATGAGGAGGTAAAGTGGATGAACACAAGAGTATCTTATTTGATCCCCCTTTGATAATATAACATGTCACATGGGGTATGCACATGCTATGTAATGATCACCCTTTGATAACATAACATGTCACATGGGGTATGCACATGCTATGTAATGATCAGATGGGGTACGCATATATAATGATCAATGGCTACACCCCTTTTTCATATAATATGAGCAAAATGTATGCAACTGTGTTGTTCTGCTAATGTTTTGAGCTGTTGTGCATCTTTTTGAGCTATCATGCAAACTATTTATCAATTGTTTGGAGAACGTGCTGTTCTGCTTACGTACGCATATATAATGATCAATGGCTACACCCCTTTTTCATATAATATGAGCAAAATGTATGCAACGGTGTTGTTCTGCTAATGTTTTGAGCTGTTGTGCATCTTTTTGAGCTATCATGCAAACTATTTATCAATTGTTTGGAGAATGTGCTGTTCTGCTTACGTTCTCAAATATTTCAGGGAGCTTCAGGATGTCAGGTGACAAACTGTGCAAAGAAAAATATATGAAACAAAAAGAACTTCTGGAAGCGGCAGGACAAACTGAGTGTGTTGGTACTCCGTGAGACAGAGGATAAAGAAAGGAGTCGCCACATGAAGAGAGGCACCCAAAGTTAAAATGTTGCAGTAGTAATAACAAGAATCTATCAAAGTTATTGGCTTTTGCTATTCTTCAGCATAAGCTATACTATAGAGTATACTTCAGCATCAGCTAGGATTTATACAGATGGATTACATGGTTTTATGTTTGAGAGGGCTTGGTTCTTCTTAATGTCAAGCATTATTACTTATTACTACTATATGGGCTTTTTGTTAATGACAAGAGTTATTATTTATTACTACTATATGAACATACGTCCAGGACAGAAGTTTTCTTTACCAGCAAAACTCTTGTTGGCTGGGATTATTGTCACAAAGCTATAGTATATCCTGTGTACAGGAGCAGCAGTTTCATTCACAAATACCTTCTCTTCAAAATCATGATTACAACTCACAAATGATACGTTTTTCTTTCTGGTATTGTAGCACCAAAGCAGACTCACCTTCATCATGTCTCTCTTTCTCCAAATTTGTTACAACCCGGTACTGGCCCTTTAAATATCCCATTTGTCATTATCTACACCAATAAAAATATCCCGAGGTTCAGAGATGGCTACCTCCATTTTCGCATAAATATGGGAGGAATTTACTTAAGGTTCAGAGATGGCTACCTCCATTGTAACGCCAACGTTGATCAGCAAGGTGTAGTTAGACACAGTACGAACATTGTACCACGTTCCATCTCTGAGAAACTGCAGTCCAGCAACACCTTCGTCCATTAGAAGAACCATAAGAGCATAGACATCAGAGTGAGGCTTGATGCCCAATGAAAAGATCAAACCTTGGACACGGAGGATAGTCATTGAATGTAGCATAAGTGAGAGCCTTGCCGTTAAGCTGGTTAACTAGGCAATGTTCATCAAGCTCCAATAGCTTGCCCATTGCGCGGAGGATGTCGTCTTTGATTCTCTTGCTCCTCAATGAGTACTCATGCAGGTCAGCCCTGCAAATACCACCAAGGTAGTTCAGTTAACCCAGGTGTGGTATATGGATGATGGTTTCTTTCATATAAGAAATTATGTATGAAGTTTTTCCAGGCCAGGCTATATTACTAGCGTGCAAGAAATATTGAAAAAAATTCTTGTACACGTTGGCAGCAATAATAGTAATAATAAAACATAAGTACGAAACTCATCTTGATGGTTTAGTACAATGTTTGCGAGGGTACATCGTTTAATCTCAATGAATTATACTTCTGTACAGAAAAAGGTAAATTTTTCTTTCTGTATATTAAAACGTAAGAGAAAGCACACAAAAAATCAAATAAACGATCCGATGAGCCGAACCCAATATTACAGTATATAAATGTATTACGAAAAATGATTACATTAATCTGTATATGCGTCGGGTATAAAATAGCAAAAAAATGGCCCTGAGATAAATCACAGGAAAGGTGTCGGCCCTGAGATAACGACCACGATTCCTTTCCTCCTCACGCTATGGAAATCCTTCCCGTGATTTCCGCCTTACATATTGCCTACAACTAACGATCTCTCGATCAGGAGCACAAAGAACCAACAGGTTTTGCATCGTAGGGTTTTCTTCCACCTCTCCATCCTCTCTCCCAAGCCGCATCCTCACACCCCTCCACCGCGCCGGCCTCCTCCACCGCAGGTCTCTCCAGCCTGCCGTACACATCTCTCCGTGGTGAACTACCATCTTCCTCCATGTCTGTGTCACAATCCCTGGTGAGCTCTGCGGATCAATCCGGCATCAACGTGGTAATGATATCTCTCTGTGATTACACCATATTCGCGATTTCACATCTAGAAGGCAATATGGTCACTAGAGGGGATCCAACAAAGTGAATCAACATGCTTTGTTTTCCCCCGCAAAATTACCAAGATGCTCTGTGTGCCTAAGGAAATTCTTATTACTACATCCACCTGATTACTTGAGAGAATAGTCACCCAACTGACTCTCAAAAAGTTGACTGGATAATAAAACAAACAAATACATATTGAAATTTAATTAGAAAGAATGTCCTCATACCACTATGTTAAGAACATATGCAGATATGTGCATCCAGGTGTGATGTAGAAATAAGAATGGGACTAATGTTAACTGCGTGCTAATAATAAATGCTTGGGTTTTCAGGAAAACACCAACAAGTGTCCCAAGGACGAGGATATGAACCACGAGTCAACAAAGGCATCACAAGATCAAGAAATCATGGATGATACGGAAAATATGCAGATTGATCAGGTGCTACCCTAAGACAAGCATACAAACCCCAATGCAACAAAGGCGCTTTTTATTTTCACATGTCATTATTATTCTTATTCTGGCAGGACGAAATAATATGTATTTTGTACTATATTATCATACATACAATTCTTTACTCACGTGAATAATATCTTCTCTTTTATAAATACTGGATAATATTGTATTATTGAAATTTAATTGGAAATAATGTCCTCATACCACTATGTTAAGAACATATGCAGATATGTGCATCCAGGTGTGATGTAGAAATAAGAATGAGACTAATGTTAACTGCGTGCTAATAATAAATGCTTGGGTTTTCAGGAAAACACCAACAAGGGACCCAAGGACGAGGATATGAACCACGAGTCAACAAAGGCATCACAAGATCAAGAAATCATGGATGATACGGAAAATATGCAGATTGATAAGGTGCTACCCTAAGACAAGCATACAAACCCCAATGCAACAAAGGCGCTTTTTATTTTCACATGTCATTATTATTCTTATTCTGGCAGGACGAAATAATATGTATTTTGTACTACATTATCATACATACAATTCTTTACTCACGTGAATAATATCTTCTCTTTTATAAATACTGGATAATATTGTATTATTGTGTGTTCGAGTTACTAAGTGAGGGAGAATCAAATTCAATAGCCAACAAAGATGAATATCTTCTCTTTTATAAATACTAGATAATATTGTATTATTGTGTGTTCTAGTTACTAAGTGAGGGAGAATCAAATGGAATAGCAAACAAATATGAAGTGGAGAAAAATAAGAGCACGCAGTCCATAGATTCCGAGGTGACAAAGACATCTATTCCTTTCCAACTATATGTCCCAAATAGTTCTAACTATAATTATATAATATCCTGCATACAGATTATTCTTTGTAATGTTGCATACAGGAATTAACCTTCAACAAAACAAGTGAAGAAATGCAGCCAGATCAGGACGAGGAATTAGCACAAACATTCGGCACCAAGGGGACAGAAACTATAGGGGACAAGCTGGCAGATTCAACTGGAATAGCCGACAAATATGGAGTGGAGAAAAAGAAAAGCACACAGTCCACTAATTCCGAGGTGACAGAGGCGTCTTTTATTTTCCAACTATGTCCCAAATAGTTATAATTCTAATTATATTCTGCATACGGATTATTGTTTGTAATGTTGCTCTAAGGAATTAACCTTAAACAAAACAAGTAAACAAATGCAGCCAGCTCATGAAGACAAATTAGCACAAACATTCGGCACCGAAGGGGCAGAAACTATAGGGGGCAAGCTGGCAGAATCAAATGGAATAGCCAACATAGATGAAGTGGAGAATGAGAAGAGCACGCAGGACACTGATTCCGAAGTCTCCGAAGTGACACAGGCATCTTCTCCAAATATGTCCCAGATAGTTCTAATTCTTAATTATATTATTAATCCTTTATTAATCCTGCATACGGATCATTCTTTGTAATGTTGCTCCCAGGAATTAACCGACAACAAAACAAGTGAACAAATGGAGGCCCCTAAGGACGAAGAATTAGAACAAACGTCCGGCAGGGAAGGGGCAGAAATTATAGTACACAAGCTGGCAATGCCTGTGCAGACAGGGAAGCTTATCCGACTGCATAACAAACCTAAGAAGGCACAAGACTACGTGGTCGCTCCAGAAGGCACGGACAAATCCTTCTATGCCCTGCTTTTGCTAAATTTATTTTTGTGGTCATCATTAATAAATTTTGTTACTTACATCATGATTGATTATGCCTATTTTTGCTACATTTAATTTCTATGCCCTGCTTTTGCTACATTTATTTTCTTTGTTTTTAATAAATGTTGTTACTTACATCATGATAGATTACGTCTGCACCGGCGATGATTGGTCCGTGATTGAAAATATCATGTCTGAACCAAACGATAAAAGAAATTTAGTGAGCATCGACGACTCACATCTCAAAAGACGACACTTAGAACGTCTATTACTCCCCGAAGAATTTCTTGGCGATGAAGTAAGTATATATAGACAAGACGATGCTATTTTAACATGAGTTTTTATTCTCTCCTATAACCAAGGTGTGCACTTAATATTGCAGATCATAGATGCATACATACATTGCATAAGTGCTAAAGAGCATCTACAGATGAGGTCAGGTGGAAGTGTGTTCTTAGAAAATGCATGCATCTCTAAGATGATAAAGGAATTTAGCTCTATACGGGATGACGCGCCAAGGTGGGTATTAAACAGAGCTAAAACTTATTTAGAAAATGATATGGTGAGTCTCAGTTCCATACATATTACTATGAATTCAATCAAGGACCAATGTTTGTATATGGGACCTAAACTAACAAAAACCCTATTTTCAGATATTCGTTCCAGTTAACATTGAAAACTTCCATTGGTACCTAGCAGTTATAAATACAGGGCAACGATGCATCCAGGTGCTCGACTCGCTGGGCCTAGGAATGAGCCGCAAAGACCTCACCGCTATGGTTAGTCATTAGTCCCACTACACCATCTTTTGATAAGACGATTTTTGGGCTTGTTCGGTTGTCATGCTAATACTTTGTCATTTATTCATTCAACAGCTCAAAGGACTGGAAAATGTATTCGAATATGCATCGCTTCAAATGGAACTAAATACTGATAAGTGGCCTGACTTAAACATCTCAGCATGGCCAAGAGAAGAGTATATTAAGAGCAGAATGCAAAGAAATGGGTATACCTTCTAACTCAAAGGCTCAAAGTAATTGACATTATTTGTATTTTTGTATTTCCCCATTAGTTGCATCACAAAAGAAGTTTCTGCACAACAAGAATAAAGCATGGATATGTCAAAGTATACGAGCTGAAAGTATACACATATGCACCGATTTGAGTTTTGTAATCATGCAGGTCATCTTGTGGTCTGTGGATGATAAATTTTATGGAGTACTTCACAGGAAATATTTTGTCTGACATTCCAACACAGGTATTTTTCACTCGGTATCATTATACTTATTCTATGTTGTATCACTATTTAACTCTTATTACTATTTTAATAGGAACATATGACATATTTTAGAACAAAACTAGCTGTCATTTTAGTGGACTCAGAATTGAATGATGATAACATAAGAAATCGAGACATGGAAGATGACGACAACAACTCAGATCCCACGGAATGTATGATTCTGGATAGACCTCCTGAGAATTTCAAAACATCAAATACATCAGGAGAAGTCGAGCTAATCTCGCAATCATTTATACTTTCACCGTCTGTCAATCCAACAAACGATGATTTAATAGATGAACTATGCTTGT